AGCCGCCTGAAATGGAGACGACGCCACTAGTCTTTTATTGTTTTGGTCGTAATTATGGCCACTTCTCTGTAATAGTGGTCATCAAAACTTGATGGCCGAGAACATACGTTACTTTTGCCATCCGCATTACTTTGAGCCATCACTGCTGGCCTTGTGTATAGGCGAAAACATACAGGCACGTACACATACAGACACAGACACATTCACGTGCTTCGAGGTTGACAAATGACTGGAACTAAACAAATCTCTTAATACCTCATCAAAGTGATCAGATATAGAGTATGTCTACAGCTTTTTATGGTTGAGCTGGTGAGTTTTCTTGATTCGTTGCCTTGAATTTGGTTGTAAGAATGATACCTTTCTCTGATGATGTTCGTCATATGGCGGACAAAAGATTAGGACGCTTTGACAGGAATCGAAGGAGACTACCTCGGAAGCAGCGTCAACATGAACGTTCCAGTAAAGCCAATCGACAGCTGGTCAAGAGGAATTCGCAGTCGTCTTCTGGTGGAATCGACCTTCAAATCTCTTCACCAAACACTTTCACTCGAAATGGAAGTGCACTCAACAATTATGAAACTAGAGATTCCTCTGAGCCCAATTTTTTTTCCTAAGGATCACATACCTTGTTTTGATGACGTCAATTAAACAAGGAAGGAAAGCTTACCACGTTTTCACCAGAATCGAAGTCGATTGCCTCGAAAACAGCATCAACAAGAAAGTTCCCTTGAGGCCAATCGACAGCTGGACTTCTTTACATAAATCTACACTCACGGCTCCGAAGCAATCCTTTCTCCATCTCCGACGAGGCCAACTTACGTATCCCTTCCACTCGCACCTCCAAATGAAATGAAATGAATTGCAGCCTTGCTAAATATTTTTTGGTAGGTTTTTTTTCTCATACGTATTCTATTAGCTATTTACATTTGTCGTTGTCCTCTTCAAATGCACACTGTTGATCCAAATTAAAAATGCAATGATCCCATGATAACCGACACATCTGCTTCGCTGCCCTGTAACATTGAGCTCTACCAAGTGAGATATGAATAGCAGGATATCTTGTTGCCCGTTTTGGTGGCTGTCCTTTTTTCCCTGTATGGAAGTGATCTAAACTCGTTCTCGCAACTCACTTTTGCTTTCAGACTGACCTAGTTAGATGTGGTTATAATAATTCCCAGCAAAACATACCTTGGATTTGGTTCATTCCAAGTCGTTTCGTTTGCATCGTCCACGTGACCTGTTAGTCTTAGCACAAGGCTACAATTGTTCAAAGAGAAAAAATGACGTCAATCTATCAACCAACTTTGTGTCGAACGGTTCTGCCATCACTCCTCCTTCTGTTCTGGTCAAAGGATTGACTTGAAGTGTCTCTTTGACGAAGTGTTGCCTTGTGCTCGGAGTGACAAGACGTCTGGGAGTGTACCAAGAGCACAGTTCAACCTGCGATTTATCACAACTTCTTTATCGGAGCTGTTTAGACAAGATGAGTTCAGCTAGGCTGATCTGACAGTACGATTAAGTTGAGAAAACTAGATTAATTTACGGAATGAAATTTGGCTCGTGCCATATGTGGCCGGGTGGTGTCTTGCCTAATTCGTACAATGTCAAGTTTCGCGCTATTCGACTTCATGTTAATCGCGACGCGCCTATAATTTCCACCATTTGGCTGTTGACCTGGTAAATTTTCAGACACTACGCTGGCAACATCACTGAGAGGCACCATTCGTAGTACAGAGTTACCATCCCGTCAGTGACAAGTGAAGGCGAATGCTCTGACCGATCTTTTTTTCAGTCGTTGGGGGCCGGGCTACAAAGCTTTGCGCAGCTGAGAAATGAGTGGTGCTGAAGAGATAATTGGTCAAGGGGATGGCGCCTCTTACTGTTGATGCCATCAAAACGTTTCGGAATGTAGCAGGTTCATGGTGCGTATAAGAAGAAATGCGGGTTTCGAAGAATAGCCTGAAATACAATTGATGTGAAGACTTTCATTTCTTAAGGAAATACTTGATAGAGAGATTCGTGGGTGAGATTGGCCTACGAACCTCTTCATCAAGTACTTCCATGCGAAAGGAAAGTCTTTGCATCAATTGTATGATGTGTAGCTAGAAATTATTATTGATACCTTGACAGAGGAGGCAAGACTGGGTATATTCCAAGTTGTCTTCGTGTCGCTTCAAACAAGTTGCGAAGGCGAGGTTAAGCCTTACTCACCCCTCAGTGACAATCTAGGCTGACTAGGCCGCTGCCTCATTGTTGCACGGCTAGAAGGGGGACGAAGATACATCTAAGGATTGGTTTCATGACGAGTGGGTGAATCGTCATCTCCGTCAACTGTCTATTTCAAAGCTTCACACCTTTTCATCTAGACCTCAGAATAGAAACAAGTAAAAGCGAGCCTACAGGTTGAAAATTAAGCCACTACCACCAGCATGTGGGTCGACTATAAGGCCGGCGTTGTTGGTAGGTCAGGTTTTCTCAAAAGCACGCATTAAAATCAACTGGTTCTTTGTGGATGGGCTTGGTGATGTTGAAACATAGAAGAAAAGAGAGTACTCGAATAAATGTAAAGGAGAAGCAGAAGCAGAAGAGGTTGATATTGATGATGGTGATGATGGTGAAGATGAAAAAGAAGCAATTTGTGTGATGACTACGATCGGAGTGAGTCAAATATCAGATACTCGTTTGGTAGGTCTGAGCGAATTTGGCCAACTGTAAGAAAAGATATTGAGGCAGGGAGCCAGGCTTGGATAGTTGCCTGATTGGCAAGCAAGCTTGGCCAATCAGCATGACGACACGTTGTCGACTACCACAAGAGTGTGAAGGAAGGAGGGCTGATATGATTGGCCAAACCGACTGACCAATCAACAAGTTGTCTGGTTTTGTTTGGCTTTAAGACCAATGCGCATTCGGGTGGGTCAAAGCGTGGTCGTGGCCTTGTTGAGTGTGCCATTTGTCTGCTGTGGCCGCTTCGCCTCGACCCTTTCGGCTGGGCACATTTGACATGCAAGCGGTTTACGCTTTCGCCGAAGCAATTGTCGACTCGGCTCAACCGAGCAAAGACGGTGGCCTGTTCACATTTATACTCGCCAACTTTGTACCCAAACCAGCTTCACCGTCTGTCTCGTTAGGCCCGACAAATGACTCTCAGACGACAAAGGCAACACCAAAGACTCCGTCTTATGGCGCCCATTTTGGGTATACAGCTACTCGAGACGGCTATTCCGTCGGCTTGGCGTCGGGAGCTGTCCTTTTCGTCTCGGTGACGGTGTTGTTCGGACTGACTTGCTATCGAGTGCGTCGGTCAAAGCGTCGGGCCGGGCCCAAGAGCGACGACCGCCAGTCGTCGCCTCTTCCCTCCCAACTGGCCCACATGG